AAAGGGCTGCTTCTGCGCTGGGCCCTGGGGAGGGTAAGTCTGGGCACAAGCCCTTTAAGAGCTGCTCCTCAGCCCTGGCCAGTGGCTCCGTTATTTGGATACCCTCCTGTACTCCAAAAGGCTGTGGGTTTAATTCCTGGTCAGGGCACATACCCAAGTTGTAGCTTCAGGCACGTACAGGAGGCAACCCACCGATGTTTCTTTCTCTCTCTCTCTCTCGCTCTCTCTCTCTCTCTCTCTCTCTCTCTCTCTCCCCTCCCTCCCTCCCTCTCTCTGAAATCAATTTTTAAAAAATAACACATACCCTTGGGTGAGGATTAAAACAAAAAGAGCTGTTCCTCAGTTTGCCTTAGCCCATGGGTCTCCTGGGCATGAGCCCAGTTGGTCTTCAGAGCCAGATTTTTGGGGGCTTGTCTTTGTGGTGCTGGTCTTAAAAGTTGGGGTGTGAACCTTTTGCTCCTCAGGAAGAAGCTCCAGGTTTTGAGTTTCCTCCCAACTGTGAATCATTGCACTGGGTGGTTAATGGCCTTTCCTACCAGCTTCTGTGTGGTTTCCATTTTGTTTGGTCAATGTGAAGGAGTTGCTCCGCCAGTTTTCAGGGTTTTGCTTTCAGAGGAAATAGTTCCCTCTGTAGCTGTAGCTTCTGCTGTATGCACTGGTGGAGGTGAGTTCATCATTTCCCCCCAGAAAGTAAGTGCACTTAGAGTGATGTAGGTTTTATGTCTCATTAGCTGTGGCCTTGGGCAAAGTACTAAGCTTATTGGCCTATATTTTGCTTATCCACAAAATGAGAATAATAATAACTTCTTTGTAATTCTTGCAAGGAGTCAAGGACAAGGTTTCTAAGTCACTTAGCCCCAAACTTGACAAATAGAGCTCCTGGATAAGTCATTATAATTGCTTAAGACTATCAATCACTTTCAAGTATTTTTAAGTAACATGTGCAAATTATATCCATTGATAGGATATGCAGGATTCCTGAAGATCTTTACTGGCATTATTCTATTAGCCCAATTTGATGTAAAAATGTACTTGAAAAGGTGTAATTGCATGGAGAAGATACACTAGGCTAAATGCTTTTCTTGGATTTTCTCCTTGAAAGGTCACTATAATCATTTACGACATGGTCAGTGTTTGCATTTTATAGAGGAGTGCAACTGAGGCCCAGAGAGGTGAACAGTGCTCCCAAGGTGACAGGGGTAAGGAGCAGAGCTGGGATTTGAACCTAGGTTTCTCTAACTCCAAAGTCCATGCTCTCAACCTCTCTTTTCTTAATTAAACTTCTGACTAAAGTTGTTAGTCATTACTCTTAAGCAAATCCAATTTAATAAGGCTTTAGTGAGAATTATCTTTGACATTTTGGAGGGAATTCTTTTCTTTCTCCTGTGTGTGTCTCCTTTTTAGAATCTAAATGTTTCATCATTAAATCACACATATTAATAAAAATGAGAGGAATTGAACAATTTAATGAGAAAACTTTAAAAAGATTATTTGTATG